TGTAAGATAGATTGATAGATAGTTTGGTCAGTTTTTCATGCCTATATCTTATAATCTGAGCAACTACTTTGAAGGTAACAGTACACAATGTACTAATGATTGTCACTCTCTGTTATCTTGTTTTACAATTTTTTAGCATTTTTGTTGTTTTTTCTCTTTAAGAAAAAGGAAATAAAGTATCCTTTTTTGTCGTAAAGTTTTGCTAGTAAATTTTTGTTCTTACTAGAATCTGTTACTGTTAGTAAGGCAATGTTGTTTGGTTTTGTGTTTTTGTATTTCTGACAGTGTAATCTTTTTTATCTAGCTATTTATATATGTAAAATAAGTGTTTATTATACATATTAATAAAATGTAAATTTTAAAATGTTTATTTAGTAACTGAAAGTGCTCTTCGCTCAAAAATACATACATAACTCACCCCCTCACCCCTACGAAATCTGGCACTTGTTTTGTTTGTATTTAGCATGAAGGAAATAGTGTGAAGTACTTTTTCCAGATAATTAACATATTTTCCCAGAGCCATTTATTCCATCTTTTCACTGAGAATTTTTACATTTACTTTTGTTCCATTTCCTTATCATAGGAGGTGCTAGAGACTAAGGACCTAACTACTGGTTCATTGTCCCTAGAGCTGACTTACTACCTATTACATAGTGGATGCTATGTGTTACAGAGCATCTGCTTTTCCCCATGCTATTGCCATGTTTTTAATTAGTGTAGGTTTGCAATAAATATGTACTATTTTTGTTTTATTTTTATTTATTTTGTTACTTCTGTTTCCTTGGCTAATACTAAAAGTCATTAAGAGGAGCACAAAACACATTTTATTAAGCCCAGAAAACCCCGTAACTCTGATTAAAACATCATTAAATGCATGACTTACTGGAAAGTAAGTTACTTAACTATCCAGAAACATGTTACTTATTCATTTATTTCTTTTTTTATTCACTTATTTCCTTTTATTTATTCATTTACTTAATTATTTGTCTTTTTCCTTAATAGGTATAATATCTTTCCAAGTAATTCTGGAGTTTTAAAGTAATATTATAGGTAATAGTTTTGTTGTTTTTGGTATGTTTATTACATTGGCCAGAGATAGCACTATTCAGTAACGGTGAAAAGAAGAAATGTGACTTGAGTTTTACTGCAGAAAAAGTGCCTTTGAAGGCTGGACCTTGTAGGTACATGTCTTCATGAAAGAGTTAAAGACATCATATTATGATGATACATGCATATTTATGTCTTATAGCAACACAATCCATAATAGCTGAATCTTGGAAGCCACGTATGTGCTGATCAACAAGATGAATGAATAAAAAAAACGTGGTGTTTATGCATCATAGAGTCTACTTGGCCATAAAGAAGGATAAGTCTGAGTTGTTCATAGGAAAAGGGATGCATCTTGAGACCATAACGATAAGTGAAATAAATCAGACACACAAACTTAAATATCACATGGTTTCTCTTATATGAATAACCTCAATTATAAATAAAGAGCACAATTAAAGATAGATAATAGGAAGTAAGAAGACACATTTTCTTTGCACATGGGAAAGTAACCAAGGGATGGAGGTAGGAGGAAGGAGAGGAGGGGAAGGGGGTGAAAACGGATTAAAAGGTGTTATGTCCATCTACCAACTCCCCACAAGGACTGTGATCATTATGTATTGCAAATATGTGCTAATAAAAAAAATGAAAAACACGGGGGAGGTAGCTCAGTGTGAAGCCCTTGGATTCAATCCCTAGTATTAAAAAAAAAACAAAACAGAAGCCTGGACAAGATTCTTTCCTCAGAGCTACAAGGACAGTGATCTAGGATAAAAAGCAGTGGAATAAAGTGAATAGGGTTTCTGTTTTAACACCTTGATTAGCACTTGTCTTTGTGATGTAAGTGACTAACTCAGATCTGTACACAGCTTAATACAATCTCCATTAAACTCCAGAACCAGAAGTAAAAGCATCAAATCACAGGCAGTTATCTGCGTGATCAAATGGTATTCAGGTATGAAGTCTAGAATTTTTAATTTGATAAGGATTTCTGTCTCAAAGAATTTAGTATATTAAGTACTTGTTTGAATCATTATCTTTGCATTTAAGCTGTAAAGTATTTATTGGAGTTGAGAAATCAGTCCTTGTGGTAAAAGGAAGAGAGTACAGTGGCACAGAGGTTGGGACTAAAGACTAAACAAAGTTCACGGAACTGTTTCATGTACTAAGTAATTCCACTACTTAGCAGTAATAGAATTTGTTCCAGTATCAGTTTGACTATAACTCAAGTAATGTACAAAGATCTTACTACACAAGTCAGAGCACTGTGTTTAGATCTGTGTAGAATTAGAATAATTAATAGTCACCACTGTATCACCAAAAACTGTATCAACAAATATTTCTACCCCAAATTGCTGGGCAGATTTGCCATATATGTTGTTTTTGTAGTTTGCTGACACAGCTCACTTGGTTAATTGAATTGTGAATTATTTTGGGGGAAATTGTGAACAGACTTTTATATAGAAAAGAATGTGACAGATTTATTTGATCTTGCAACTTTATTTCCATTTTGTTGTTGTTGTTGCTGTTTGTTTCTTTGTTGTTGCTATTTGTTTGAGACAGAGTCTCGCTATGTAGCCCAGACTGGCCTCAATCTCACAGTGATCCTCTTGCCTCAGCCTCCCAAGTGCTGGAATTACAGGCATATGCTACCATTCCCAGCTGCAGCTGTATTTTCTACCTTGTATTGTGTTCAAATTTTATAAATTAGTTATTTTTAAAGACTTACTTTATATTTTAATTTTTCTGGCACTGTTCATCTTTTTGTTAGATGCTTTCATGATTTCTGTTTATTGATTTCTTATCCTGTCTGCTGACTTTGTGGTTACTTACTTTAAAAACGGAATTATAAATATTAAAACTGGTAAATAATTATGCCTGTGATTCAGAAAGTTAAAATACTGAGCACAGAATTGTGACTAGTTTATCATCTGAACAATATACCTTGGGAGATAGTAACAAGATAAACTGATACAAATTTACTATTATTTGCTGAGTTATCAATAAATTAGCTTGGGATTTCTTTTTTATCATAAATCATCTGTTTTTAAAAAGTTTCAAAACTCCATTCCTCTAACTCCAGTGTGTAGAGTTTGGAGGAAAGAATGTTCCTGTATAATGTGGTGTCTTCAGACACTGCCAGCAACCAAAGAAAGGGGAGCGGGAAGCTCAGGGTATTGAGAGGAGAGAGCTGAAGAGCAGAAGGTATAAGAAAGCAAAGAGGAAGAGGTTAAATACTTAGATTCTAAAATGCAAAGTAAGTGTCAAGGACTGTGTCTTTGTATATTGATAATTTCGGCTAGCAGATACTCAGTGCATGCTGTTAAATAGACAGTGGCATCACTAATGTTCACTTAGCAAATTCTTCAGCACCTTTATTTCCCTCACTCCTAATACGAGTTTCTAATTACAATTGCTTACATCTGCATCACGTCTTTCATCTCACTTCCTTCCCTTTCTATCACTGCTCTGCTTCAACACATCCTTTGTACTTCCTAAATGATCTTACCTCTTTTCTTGAAAAGCTTAAACTCCACACAACCATCAGGACTGTTGATCTGACACTCAGATATTGTATCACTCTCTAATTTAAAAACCTGCAAAGTTCCTTGTTATAATCACAAGGCCAGACCCTTCAGCATTGCTTCAAGACTTCACAGTCTCTAACCTGTTATCCTACCATTCCCTTCCACATGGTATTCCACATGATGTATTACTCAGAGTTCCCTAAAATCCGTGGATTAGTGCTCATGCCCCACCCTGTGTTAGGCTATTCCTTTTTCCTCTCCTGTAAGGTCCAACTAGAATATGCCTTCTTTTTTCTGTAGTTTTCCTCACTCTGGTCTCCTTTACTCCCAGCAGGAAGAATGGTCCCCTATTCTGAGTTTCCCATGTTCCTTATTCCTTCTCTTAAATCCCCTTTCCACTTGTATTGTAGATTGCCTCTGACAGGTGGAATCCTTTTAGATGCTAGTTTGTCCTGATTCATACATTTAGTAGATTACCTGGTATATACAGTACAAGATAGCACGCATATCTTTTCATTTAATCTTCACAACCAATAAAGTTGGTGCTACACTTACACAGTTGGGATGCTGTACTAAGTAAACCTAGCTGAAAAGGCCTCACAGATAGCACAAGGCAAAACTTTGAAAACAGCTGAATCTGTCTCCGAAAGCTCATGCTCAGCTATCTTGCTTCCTCTCTCTCCACAAAAGTATTCTCAGTGCCTGTTCTTTAAATACTCTAGAAGTGCTTACTGACTGAATGAATGTAACTCCAGTTCTCACAGTATTTTATGGCAGGCTGGTAGTATAGTTTTCACTGGAACAAAGAGTATACTGTTCATAAAAGTAAAAAAAAAATTTATCTCACTAGAACACGTACAAAAAAATCAGAATGTTTATGGCTGGATCACAGCAGTGTTCATCTAGGGTGAAAAAAGTTTAGGTGTACAGGTATAGATAGCATTTGTAACACACACATAGCATGGCAGTGCAACACTGTACAAGTTTCACTTGACTTCTGGGAGACCACAGCTCCTTACCTCTGCCTGAATGCCCTCACAAGTTGGCACTCACTGATACAGCACGTTGCTGTGCTGGCCAGATGCGTGTATATTCTGAGGTAGACCACAATAAACAGAGGAATGCTTGTGTTCGCAAGACAGAAAAGTGTGTTTTTTAAAAGTATATCAGATTAAAAACACTTTAAATGCCGTGTACTAGTACTTGTATATATGAATACAGAATCGATTAGATCTCATCTTGGATTCTCTTAAGGGTCAAATAATGTCAGAATGTAACATTTAACTCTTAAAAGTCTCGAGAGTGAATGCTAGTAAAAAATAGTAATTTTAGCTGATGTTTCATTATGGTCTGATTTTCCTTCAGGACTAAAATGTTGTACAGATTATTTCTTAACTTTTTTTGTTTTTGTTTTTGTTTTTCTAGTGTTGTTAATAACAATACTTGTAGTGGAAGGGATCGCTGTGGCCCAAAAGACCCAAGGTAAAGTACTTACTGTGTTGACTTCCTATGTGGTCAGGACAGTGGGATAGCTTATTTGAGAGGATTGCAACTTTTGAATACTATATCTACAATCCCTCTGGGATGTTCAGTGACCAGAGGCTTTTATATCAGCCTGTCAGCCTCAGCATAACTGGGCTTAGCTGCAGGTACCCTGAGTAAATTGTCAACATAAATCTTGATCTATAATTTTTTTAAAAATTGGCATTACAGGTAACTCCTAGCAACACTGTGGATTATGTCCAAAAGTTAAATGAAATTCATGCTCTATCACAAGAAAACATTTTTAAAAGCCCTTTTCCTATGTAAAGAAATGAAGCATTTCTATTGGTATGTTATTCAAAGCCCTTTGGTCTTATTCTAATTGTCCTGATTTACAAAAAAAAGATTAACAAATGTGGTTTTGGAGCTAGAGTTTCATACTAGATTTTATTACATTATTTTCATCAAAGTTATGAATACATGTGTAGTAAATAATAAGGAAAAACTGATGCCATTTTTGTTGATTCTTTTAATACTGCCTTTCCTATCTTTGAATAACATGCTATACTGCTATTTCTTGACTCTCAGTTTTAAATATTAGATTCTGATTTCTGGCCATGGAAGATGAGAATTTAGTTCTTTCACACACCTACTATCCACCCCATTCATATACAGATGTTCTCTTTGCATTTGCACTATTCTCAGTATAATTATATCACAATTCTATTAAATCACTAGAAAGCCACACATCAGTCTTTTTATGAATTTTATCTTTAAATTTAGGAATTTGTTTTGTTCTAATTTTTTAAATTCCCAGGCTGGGAATATACCTCAGTGGCACAGTACCTTGCTTGGCAAGTGTAAGGTCCTGAGTTCAATTCCTGGTACCCCCCCCCAAAATTTTTTTAATTCCCTTTCCACTTTCTCTGTTCTGCATTTTCAGAGATTCTTACTATTTGATTATAGCCAGTTTTTATCTTTTCTATTTCCTACCTCTCATTTTGCTTCATGTTCTAGAAGGCTTTTTCAAGTTTATCCTCTAAATGAAATTTAGGAAAGTTTCTCTGTAAAGCATCAAATAATAAGTATTTACATCATTGCAGGCCACACTCTCTGGAACGGCCTCTCAGCTTGTCTGCTCTGGTGTGAAAGTAGCCATAGACAGTGTACAAATATCCTAGTAAAACTTTTGTACAAGCACAGGCAGTAAGTCAGATTGGCCCAGGACCTGATCTCTGCTCTAACCGTTAATTTTTTAATTTCTCCTACTTTGTAGAAGCACTCTTTTATTTTTGGAATAGGCTTTTTTAAAAGAGTATCTTAATTTTATGTATATCATTTTTCTGTAAGATAAATGAAAAATCTAGAATGTACTGTTACTCTTTTATTTTTAAACAGTTTTTACACATGGTCTTTGTTTCCTTAGAGTTGCTTTGTTTTTTTTGTTTGGGTGCATTTTGCATATTACAGGCTTTCTTAAATGTCTGCTCCTGTCTTAAGAGGGACACTAAAAGCTGCTAGTCAGTTGTCTGCAGGTCTAAATAAGAACTAGTGGCCCCACTGTCAAATCGCCTGACACTAGGACCCCCTAGGTGTGCTTTGTTGAGCCTTCCTTAGGCAGAAAGACCCCCAGAAAAGCACCTTTCCATTTCCTGTTTAGATACACTCACCAAGAGGCCTTTGGCAAATTCAGCGGGAGAAGCTTGAGCGTATCATTTAGTCATTTAGTAATCTCTGTTTTCCGGTTGGTGTTTTCACACTCAGCTGCAGCGGGCCGCTCCTAGTCCAGTAAGCCCTGTTTCACTTTCTCCGAAGAAATGATCTCCAGTATTCTGACGTGGTGATAGAGCAGTAGCTGCCTAAGACTGATGGAGAAGGGGAAGGAGTATGAAACCAAATTGACTATAAACAGGCTTTTCACTAGATTAATGTTTTTATTTTTGTTTTTCAGATTCAGGTTTTTAAAAGGCCAGTTTTACATACAACCCCTCATTATACTTCTAGTAGTGCTAGATGTTATTAGATCTACCTCTGTGTATTTATGGGTTGATACCTTTAAAAAATTCCACTCTTGTTTAAGTGGAGTTGACGAAAGATCAGAGCTAAATGTATGTTTAACTATAATCTGTAAAACCTTTCTGTAATCTTTAATTTTATTTGACTTTTGTGTTAAACTAGATATAAAGATACCATAATAACGCTACAGATCTTTTTTTTTTTTTTTTTTTTGTCTTTTTGAAACAGGATTTCACTATGCCATTCAGGCTGGCCTTGAACTCACTGTGTAGCCCAGGCTGGCCTCCAACTCATGATGATATTCTTGCCTCAGCATCCCTAGTGCTGTGATTACAGGCGTGTGCCACCACAGCCGGCCCTTTTACTTTTTTATATTAGAACATAACATCATTAAATTCTGCTGATTTAGCAGATTCTCCCACATTTTTGCCCTTGTAAAATATGAGCATTTTATTTCCCAGTTCCCTTGTATGGCCATCTTACTGTCTAGCAGCAAGTTTTTCCAGCAAGTGCATTTTACAGATTGTTTTTTGTTGTTGTTTTGTTTTTACTTCTGATGTACTCAATTTGTAGTGCTAATTTTGGCGTTTGGTTCTTACAAATTGTGTGTGTGTGTGTGTATGTGTGTGTGTGGTTGAAAGGGCGATTATTTGCAGGGGAAAGAGAAAAATGCTATTCTCTTTTGCAGTAATTATGTTTTAAATGCTGTTCTGTTTCCCTAGATGGACAAAATATCGGAATCAAGCACATTCCTGCAACTCAGTGTGGCATTTGGGTTCGAACTAGTAATGGAGGTCATTTTGCTTCACCAAATTATCCTGATTCATATCCACCAAACAAGGAGTGTATCTACATTTTGGAAGGTATTTGACCACTTTTTTTCTTTTATTGGGTGAATTTTTACTTTATTATAAAACTAACTACATTTGTAAAATTCTGGTTAAAGCAGTTTGAAAATAATTTAAACATATTTGAATTAAATTCTACTAATGACAAGCATTTATAAATATTAACTACATTAACAGTGATAGTTGAAACAATGGAGTTTTGAATCTCCTAAAATAACATTCAATTAAGTGTATCATATATATGAAAAACTTCTGATAAAGACTTAAACATACTGGCATTTCTTACTAGGCTTTATGCAAATTTCTGTGTACTTTAGTGAGCTCCTTTCATTTGTTCTATTTATCGTTCTGTGTATCGTGGTACATTGTATCTCATCAAATCAATAAGCATTAGCTTTTCAACACTTCAGTTTTAGTCAAGTACATTTAATGAACAATTTATGCCAAAGGAAGATTATCCTACTTCTACAGAGTAGAATAATGCTCTCTTCTACAGAGTAGCATTATTATTAATGTAAAATGCAACATATATGATGAATAATTCCCATTACAATCCTCGCCTATGGAGCATTAACAGAGCAATAGTTTTAATTTAATCATTTGTGTCAATATATTGGCGTATTTTGTATTCTTACTGTCCTGATTTGCTTCCTTTTGCTTTACAGCTGCTCCACGTCAAAGGATAGAGTTGACCTTTGATGAACATTATTACATAGAACCATCATTTGAATGTCGGTTTGATCACTTGGAAGTTCGAGATGGGCCATTTGGTTTTTCTCCTCTTATAGATCGCTACTGTGGCATGAAAAGCCCTCCATTAATTAGGTCAACAGGGAGATTCATGTGGATTAAGTTTAGTTCTGATGAAGAACTTGAAGGACTGGGATTTCGTGCAAAATACTCATTTATTCCAGGTAAAGAATATGCTATCTTTTCGGTGGTTGCCCATCTCAGTCTGATTTAAGAATCTCAGGGTTAGAAAGGACAAATTTGGCAAAGTTAATCAAATCAAGACATTAAAGAAATTATTAAGATCAAAAGTAAATCAGTGTATGAGCAAATAAAAATTGGAATAGAACTGTATCATTTAAATTTTGAGCCTATCATATGATACCATATTTTCTCAGTTTTAAAAAAAATGTCTTACACCACATCAGGCCAACAACATCAGAATAAATGTCTATTGTTCTCAATACCCCCAAGAATTACTCTGGCAGGTTTATTTCATTGGGCTGATTGAGTTAACTACTAATTTGAATGAAAATAGTGAGCAGTTGAACAAATACTGCTCTGTATCTGGCGGTAGAAGGTCTGGATTTGAATCCTTTCTCAGCCACCTAATAGCTGTAACACTGAATCAGAGTTGTAACTGAGATTTGCCATTGGGACAAGGGTAATAGCTGCTCTTTTGGTAAAATGGTTATACTGTTATACTGTACTTGTTTCTAAGAGGGACATGATGTAATTACCATAAATGTGGTGACTTAAAGCAACAGAAACATATTTTCTCATGGTTTCTCACTCGCTCTTAGGGCCCTAGAGGGGAATCTGCTGTCTCTTCTAGTTTCATATTGCTCCAGTCCTGGCTTCAATCTTCATATCCTTTCCTCATCTCAAATCCTTAACAGGGTCATCTTTTCCCTTCTGACGTGTTATTGAATCTTTTTTTAACCATCTAAGCAGTAGGCGCAAACCTATGGCAGACCTATGTGCTGCGGTGGGCAGTTCATTATCCTTGAAAGCTCTAAAAGGTTTGCCAGGTAATATTCAGACCTAAGGTAATATTCACAAGTCAGTGGGTAATTGTTCAGCCTACTACATTACTACCATGCTACCTGCCTACTACACTGATTTACCTTACCTTTGAGAGGTAGAACCCTGAGAATCTCTGAGAACTATAAAACCCTAGCCAGTATAAAGCATAGCTATCCCTCCAAAGCTTACAAACTTAACAGGATAAAAAAAAAAAACTTGCCAGCGTGGTGGTACATGTCTATAATCGCAGTACTCAGGAGGCTGAGACAGGAGGATCCCTGTGAGTTCAAGGCCAGCTTGGGCTACATACAGTAGTGAGTTCAAAGCTAGCCTGAACTACATAGCAAGACCCTGTCTTAAGAAAAAAAATTTACTGTAACAACTGTATAATCTTTTATGCTTTTATTTACTTTGCTTATAAGAAATTTATTAATTGAAAAAATTTTAAGTCATACCCAAATAAAAATATTATATTCATAATCCACTACCCTATGTATAAAATCAGTGTTAGCAATCTAGTATGCATCTCTTCGGGTATTTTTCTGTGTAGTTTTTACATATACTTTTATTACCTGTTTTTTCTGCTTGAAAAATACAAGTAACTTTTTATTGCTATCAGTAAACATTAAGGAAATTGTAGTTTTGCTCCTTTAGGGAGGGGGAAAGAAAATAGTGGGGAGGGTGGGTTCAGTACATACATGCAGGGATATGTCACAGTGAAACTCATTAATTTGTATAGTTAATATAACTGGATAATTGTAATACTTTTAAATAAAATTTGTGCCAATATTTGTCTGCTAAATGCTAGGACATTTTCAAAAAGTAAAATTTGTCTGATAGAGATGTTATTTTTTAGAGCAATTGTAGGTTCACAGCAAAATAGAGCAGAAAGTAATCATATGCCTCTTCCCCTGCCATAAATGTGCACAGAAATAGTACATTTGTCAAAATCCGTGGACCAGATAGGAATGACACATCATTAATACCTGTAGACCATGGTTTATATGAGAGTTCACTCTTGATGCTGTATGTTCTGTGAATTTTGACAAATGCTTAATGACATGTCCACCATTATACAGAACTTCTAAAGGAGCTCCATTGCCCTAAATTTCCCTTGCTCATCCTCTTCATCCCTCAGTCCCTCTGCCTGAACTCTTGGCAGCCACTGGTGTCTTTGCTTGTACGTAGTGTCACTACCCTTTCCAGGGTACCAGGTGAAATGGGAATCATACAGTATGCAGCCTTTGCAGGCTCACTTGACTTACCCATATATACATTTAAGCTTCCTTCATGTTCTTCATCTTCTTTTTTTTAATTATTTTTATTAGTACATGTTTGCAGTACATAATGATGACACTCATCCTGGCCTTCCCTGTCTTTTTGTGACTTGACAGTTCATTTTTTAAGCACTGAATAACATTCCATCATCTGTACGTACCACAGTTTGTTTTTCTGTTCTGTTGAAGGATATCGTAGTTGCTTCCAGGTTTTAGCAATTACAAGTAAGGCAGCTATAAACATCTATGCAGGTTTTTGTGAGGATATAAATTAACTGATTTGAGTAAATGCTGTTACATTTTACACCATGGGTGAACTTGAGATATTCTCAGTAAAATTGCTAGAAAATGAAAGGGCAAATATTACATGAGTCCACTTATATAAGGTGTTAAATTCACAGAAACTAAAGCAGAACAGTAGTTACTGGGTCAGATAGAGGAGGGGAGAGTGAGGAATTAGTGACTTTCAGTCTGGGATTTCTTTTTAAGTGCTGGAAATAGTGGTGATGGTTGTGCAGCATTTTGAAAGCCACTGACCTGTATGCTTAAAAATGATTCACATGGCACTTTTTGTTGCCATTTATCACAACTAAAGAGAAGTAGCTAGTAACCTTTTTTCCCAATGGCAAGGAAAAGAAAAACAGCTATGTAATAGCGCAGGATATTCTTCCTATGAACTAATTCACAGACATTTGAGAACCAGCAGTGTATATTAAAATAAATTGCTAAGCCTGGTGATGCACACTTGTAATCCCAGCACTTAAGAGGCCGAGCCAGGAGGATTGCTGCAAGTTGGAGGCCAGCCTGGGCTACATAAACAAGTTCAAGGCCAGGAGACCCTGTTTCAAAAAAACCAAAAATAAAATAACTAATGTCGTTAAATTGGTCAGTTATTTGATTTTTATTAAATAAATCAACTGAATTGATATTTTTTGTGTCCTAAAGACATTATTACAAAATCTTACACAAGTTAAATCTTTATAGGTAAGTTTAGACTGCTGAAAAGAAAAAGACAACAGAAACAATGCTCCTGTTTGAGTGATGTTTTAAAGTAATTGTTTTAAATCAGCTAACCTCAAAGATACCTACTTTGAGCAAAAGTAGGTCCTTTTCAAACTCTTAGTTGTATAGGTCATGAGAGAAACTTTATATGACAGTTGTTTGCATAGTTAAAATAGGGACATTATAAAATGCTTAGGCTTTCTAGACTTTCACCTTTTATTTATACTTGATACTGCTTCAGAGTTTATACATTATATTTAATTTTATGCTATTAATGGTAGTGTTAGGAATATGTGATACCCTGTTTTATAGGTGAAGAAGCAAAGTAAGAGATGATTATCTTACACAGCAGCATACTCAAGACTAGATTCCAGTTCTCTAGGCAACTTTTTCTACTCTAAGTTGCCTTTGTAAATGTACAGTAGATTCTGCAGAGTGATTACTAAATGAAAGAAAAACACTTTGTGTTAAATAGGTATACATAATTAACTAAAGTATAGCTGTATCTGCTGTTACTTAAAGTCATGTTTATAAAATTTCCCTAGAGAATAGCAATCTAGAGAAAAACCGATTGATGGTGAAAAAGTTAGTACTTGGGATAATTATGGAAATTTTATTAATGCAATAATAATGTCTTAAAATTCTTACCTATGTATGAAAAAAATCTGATTAATTTTCCAGATAGCTGATATGACCCCCCGCCACCTCCTGTGCCACTTTTTGACATTTCTTTGCTAAAAGTTTAAATTTAAAAAGGATAGTCTCTGTCAGGCATGGTGGCCCACACCTGTAATCCTAGCACTCAAAAGAGGAAGAGGCGATAGGATCACTGTGGGTTCAAGGCCAACCTGAACTACATAAGCAAGACACTATCTCAAAAAAAAAGTCTCTGAAATATATGCTAAATTAAGTTAGTAATTTATTTCCATTTTCCCAATTTGTAACTTGATAACTTTATAAAATATGTAGAATTAAAGGCGGTTTTAACAAGAGTGGAGCATACTGTTACATACAATAAACTGTGAAATAAGTTTTCCAGACAAAGGATTCTGAGGCATTTGAGACTGCCCAGCAGTTTTTTCATTCTGGCAGTTTTGTATATTCAGGTTCTTTCTCAACTTTCAAAAACATTTTTAAAGATACCTATGTTTGTAATTTTTAAAAAATTATTTTTATTGTAGTAAAATATGTGTCACATAAGATTTACCTTCTAACCACTTTTAAGAATGTAATTCAGTAGTAACAAGTACATTCACATTGTTTTACATCTATCCACTTAAACAAAAAAAAAAGAAAAAAGAAAAATTTTTATTTGTATATGTTTCACATAATTACATACTTTGTGAGTAGTTGGTACGTGTATATGAGACATCTTAATTATTTTTACTTCCCCTCTTATTTCTTGATCCCTTTCCCATTTACAAAAGATCTTTCTCCTGGTTTTTTATTTTCTGTTACTTTATTTATCTATACTTTGGGTTTCTTATATAAAAGAAACCATGCATATTTAAACTTAGGTGTCTGATTTATTTAACTTAAACATTATAATTTCAAGGTTTAAACAAAAACTTTAAAAGACAAATTTTTATAGGATTCAACAAAAGGGAATTTCACTTCTTTTTAAAGCTGAGTGATATTCTACTATATTGCATAGCCCACATTTTATTTATCTGTTCATCTTTTTTTTAATGCTTTTTTGAGACAGAGTCTCACTGTGTAGTTCAGGCTGGTCTTGAACTCACTATGTAACACAGACTGGCCTCAAATTCATGGCAGTCCTCCTGCATCAGCCTCCCAAGTGCTGGGATTACAGGCGTGCACCACTACACCCAGCTTATCTGTTCATCTGTTAGTGGACTAGCTACTACTTCTGATAGTTGATAGCATAAGTTATGATATTTTAAAGTATAAACATTATCATTATATAAATGATTCTATAAGCAAGTTCGTAATTGACTAGTGATATGTAGGCTATATCAATAAAAGCTTCTTTTACATTGCTTTGAAAGGAAGCTGTAACAAATCCTAAAATGTTAAGCCTTAAGATATCTGTCCCAATGACTGTCTTCTTTTTCTGTTACAGATCCAGACTTTACTTACCTAGGAGGTATTTTAAATCCTATCCCAGGTTTAGTATATTACCTCTTTTTCCCCATGGTATTTTTGATCAGTTTTATTTTCCTTTGAACATCATTCATTTATTCTTTCTAGATTGCCAGTTTGAGCTGTCAGGAGCTGATGGAATAGTGCGTTCTAGTCAGGTAGAACAAGAAGAAAAAACGAAACCTGGCCAAGCAGTGGATTGCATTTGGACAATTAAAGCTACTCCAAAAGCTAAGGTATTGCTGTGTATTGAGTCTTTTCAAAGAACGTAATATGACATGGCTTGTTAATTTAATTGATAATCCCAATTGTTAATTGACTATATAAATTGATATTGACTATATAAATTGATATTGACTAATTGTTATTGACTATATAAATTGATATTATAGCTTAAAAATTATCCAGGCACAGTGGAATGTTCCCATAATCCCAGCTACTTGGTGGAAGCAGAGACAGTAGGATCATGAGTTCAGGGTCAGCCAGAGCAACTTAGTGACACCCTAACAAATAAAAAGGGCTCCTTAAAATCCAGGTTGTCTTCTTAAAAGTCATAGAGTTGGTCATAACAGTGCAAAACATAAACATGTTGACAGGATACAAAATCAGCATTTAAAACTCAATAGTTTTCTATATACAACAATGAATTAGCAGAGAAAGACATCAGGGGAACAATTCTATTTACAGTGGTTTCAAAAAATGTAAATATGTTGAGCCTACTTCTGTGTCCTTACTGTTTAGCATGTAGAGTCACTGACCATGTAGAGCTTTTATTAAAAAGTACTATAGAGAAACATTTTTAAGTTATTCTGACACATTGAGATTGGTTGCTAACTATTTTTGCTTTTACTTTATACTTCTAGGAATAGCAACAGTTAGAATTAGTTTTAGTATATACAAGAGCTGATTCACAGATACAGTGAATGTTTAAATTTTTAAAAACTTAGTGCAGTAAAAGACACATTGCCAGAAACAGTAGGATGTGCATGTTTGAAGTAAAGGAATATTTTGAGGAGGATTATTTAAGCGTTCATTGTACTTTTTGATCACCCCACATATGTGTGTGAAGAAAAGAGAAGACTGAGAGAATCTACCTTGAAGGAAGCATGAAAATCAGGTTTAGGGTTGTAGTAAGACTATAGGTCAGAAAACCCACCTAGTTAACAAGCACTTGGAAACACTGGGTAAAATTTAACAGGTAGCCTTTTAAAAGCATATGCAAGCTCCAGAAAAGTAGGTAATTCTTGTGTACTACAAATGAAGAAAGGTTTAAAGCAATAAACTGAAACCAATGTTCAAATGCTCCAGACTAATTTCAATAACCTATTCCTGCCCAGGTGTAAACATACCAGAAGCTTGGATACCCACACTGAGGGAAAACAGGAAAAAGCTAGGGCTCATGAGACTTCCTTAAATAAAGCTGGAACCATCAAACAAATGATTGACATGAATGGGTAAATCAGGAAAAATATTACACCAGCATGTGTCACTGACAAGGACACATGTTTTTTCTGGGTTTATTTCCTAGAAGGGGGTGGAAGAGAGCTGGGATTTCCCCTAGTGTTGTATTTACCTAGGAACTTGCTTTTGGGTTTGGGATATGACTGTATATTTCATGTTCAATCCAGGAACCACTAAGCTCAAAAATTAACAAAATGGTAATAGTCTCATAAAACGTTTGAGGCACCTAGCCAAAGTAAATCCAAAGTGACCATGAGGTTTCAGGTTTGGCACTGATAAATCACCACTGAAAACCTTAGAATCCCAAATTAGAAACTGTCTGTCCTCACAACTCACCTATCAGGTAAGCAGACCAACAGGAAGAAGTTTCTTAGGCCTATAAGAACTTAACTATATTAAGTATCCTGTAAGAAACAAAAAGATGAGAAAGAAAATGATCAAGTATGTTTTTTAAACAATAAAATAGATCTATAAAACATACAGTTGTTAAAAGATCTGAGGAAGTCTGACGTGGTGGCACACAACCATAATCCCAGCATTCTGGGAGGTTGAGGTAGGAGGATCAAAAGTTTAAGCCCAAGTAATTCCTGGAAGAAGTTTGGATCTAAGGAATTCTGAAGCTGTCATTATACATAATTCAAGTGGAAATAAAGGAATTGTGGCAGGGCAGATAGGATGACTGGGTTAAGCATCAGTTCTTTTTAAAACAGCTATCTTGGAGAGCCTCATTAAGGTCACCTTGATGAGTACTGAGGGAATTACATGTGAAATTCCTTAAGTAAAACTCTATTGTTGTCCCCCCACAAGCTCCCCCCAAAAATTTTGAGCCAACCTAGACAATTTAATGACTTAATGAGACCCTGCCTAAAAAGAAATTTTTTTAAAGGGCTGGGATGTACCTCAGTCCAAATGCCTTGGGTTTAACCCCCCAGCACCCCTCCAAAAGAAGATTAGTGTCAGAACTATCAGTGGGAGAATAGAAGCCCAAAGACAATAGGATACTGTGTTCAGATCACTGACCAAAATAGAGACTGGTAACCTACATTTCCTTACCTAACCTGTGATTCAAGAATGAGGGCAATACTAAAATATTTCTGGCCCAAGAGTTGGCCATGGGGAATTCCTTAAATTTGCTCCTGTAGCCTTACAGTATACCCAGTTCTTAATCTATCACATTATGTTTATATACATTTTATATAATTTATAAATAATTAAGTTATATAATTATTTTTATAGAAAATATGTGTCATATATAAAATTATACTCTCAGAAGCTCTGTGGTTTAGAGAAAATAACCTCAGCCTAAAAGCCAGCAGTTCTTATTCTGCCTCTGCCTCTTACTGGCTACCTGAGAAAGTCACTTAACCTCTGAAGTTTAACTTCATTACTTAGAGGTAAATTTATATTATCCTTATAGTTTCATTATCTGTAACTGATGTTTCCTTGCTTACCTCACAACGTTGTGAGGATCAATGGAATCAGGTACATAAAAAACCATTTAATAAAATGTGCAGTACAGACCAAAAAGATATACGCATTAGAAAGGAAAAAATAAAACCTTTTTATGTGAAATGACTGTTTATATTTTAAAAGTCTCAAGAAATTTATCTAAAAATGCTCCTGGAACAAATAAGTAAGTTTATTTCAACATACAGGAGGCTGAGGCGGGAGGATCGCCATGAGTTCGAGGCCAGCCTGGGCTACAAAGTGAGTTCAAAGCTAGCCTGAACTACATAGCAAGATCCTGTCTCAAAAAAAAAAATCCCAATGACATTTTTTTAATATTATGAAGCTAATTTAAAACCTAATGGGTAGGCAAGGAGTTATAAAACCCAAAATAATTTTTGAAAAAGAATAAAGGTGGAAGATTGATCACTTGATTTCAGTATTTACTATAAATCTTCAGTAATGACAGTAGTACTGACAGGAGAACAGACATAGATCAGTGGAAGAGAAAAAAGAGCCAATAGATGAGACTTGTACACTGTGGTTAAGTTTGTTTTAACAGATAAAAGGCAGCTCAGGGGAGAAAGGATAGTCTTCAACAGACAGCAATGGAACAGTTCGATACTCACATTGGAAAATTTTAAAAGAACCTTCACCCATATCTAATATATAAAAATTAAAACATCATAAACAAAAATGTAAAATTATAAAATGTTTGGTAGAAAATAAAGTTTTCTCTGTGGAAGGTGCCAGAGCCCTAAATTTAAGAATACAAACACAGCCCAGTATTGTGGTATGGTGGTGGTGGTAGGTTTTTTGGGTGGGTGGGTAGGTAGATTGGTTTTGCAGTGCTGGGGATCAGACCCAAGGCCTCATGCATTCTGGGCAAGTGCTTTGTCACTGAACTACGTTCCCAGCCCCAGTGCTAAATGAGCAAAGACATTTAGAGAAAAAAAGGCCACCATAACACTTGCACACCTAAGATGAGATAAACTATTTAATGGATGATATTCGAGGAAAATGTGCAAAGTACTTACATAAGCACACAGAAGGAGGTAATTAAGTAAAATACACTTATAAATATACACCACTGTTTTACTCCATTTTCATCAGTGGCCTTTCCATAATGGGAGTAGATTTCTAGGATTTCATTTCACTTTTGTTGTGACTTTCTGAGATTCCAAATAAATAACAGCCCTCTTCCCTAATAGAGTTTTGAACCAATTTGGAAAAGTATCTAAATCCCTTGTAAAAACTGTCAGCATAGGAAGATTCAGAGTAGTCCCTTTTACAGTAAGCTAAGGCTAGATGAGGGAAATCAGCTTGGTGAGACTGTCAAGTGTCTTGCTGAGGCCCTGCCTGCTGGTTTCACCTCAAGTCAAGACTAGACCATTCCCCTCCAAGGAGAGGTACCCAGATTCCTGTTTGTACATATTTGTCCAGGGAGGGAGACCATACTCTCCCCTTGATCCCAGTAACTTTCCACTTCCCTGTTTGGGACATAGGTGCAGGATAAGAGGCCAAGGGCATTTAATAGGAGATGCCTTCATGCCATCTGGAGTAAGAGTGCCTTGTGCCCTTCCACATTTTGTCCCCATTCATATTGCTAAGAATATTTTCCAACAGTTGGTTAAACTAAACAACTAGAATATTCAGTTGTATTCATAACAGAAATGTTATATGGTCATGACTTACCTGTAACTCTTGATCTATAATAAAACTGCCTATAATAAAACTGCCTTTGAAGAGGGTTTACTGTAGGCTTGTACATCACCATGTTTCTTTGTATTAAAAACAGAAAATAAATAACTTCAAACATCCTGATTCTTCTACGAATATTTAGTTCTACCGATGGATAGTTGTACAAATCTAGTTACTTATTACCTACTGTGAGCAGTAATTATACTGGGTAAGATTTAGCGAAAGAGTCTCTCACTGGAAGACCTTACAGTCTCACTGGGAGAAAGATATATTGTCACCATAGAACCATGAGCAGAGGGTTTCGGCTACATACATAATGCAGAAATTAATGAGAAGCAGTGACACACTTACAAAAACATGCTGCCTAAAGGTTAGAATACATGCACAAAGATTTTGTACCATTTGAAAGGGAAAGTCTGTTTCATTACCTATTTCCTACCATGTTTGTAGAAATGGCAAACTGCTCAGTTCAAATAACTTAAAGTTAGTTGGTCAGAGTTGGAGCTATATTTTTGATTCCTTTTAGCTTTATGCCATCAAGGTATTTTAGAGAGAGATGTTTTGTTTTGCTAAGCCCTTTCCATCAAAAGTAACAGCTAGAAAGTGAGTACCTACTAGATGTCTTCAGTGGCAATTCAGTGGAAAGTTTTATTTTTTACTTAGTAAAATTTTAGTTGTAGAGACCCAAAACTGGACCCAAAAACAGAACATGTGCACAGGGGCACGTGTAAGAGAACCCGTGGAGTGAAAAATACTTCATAGAGTCAGGCCCACCTGGGTTCAGACCCTGACCCAGAAGAATCCTGGACAAGTTCCTGAGTTTCTCACATGGTGCAAACAATACCTGTTTTATTAGTGGGTTCTTGTATAGGTTAGTGCTTAAATTGTTTCTGAACCCACAGTGTACGAAAGTAAAGGATATCTTTGAATGAGTGAACTAAATGTATTTTAATTAGCAAACTGCCTATAAATTTTGAATGCAGAAGATGCTAATGGTGCTTCCTTTGTCTGAAAATGTAGAAAAAGTTAAGGGGTGAATCTTAAAACAATTTAAGTGTGCAACAAATAGAAAAATGGGTAAGTGAGAGGATGTTGTGGGGATGAGTTGTTCTAAAGAGTGTAACATTTCTGATGTGTTACAGCAAAAGCAGGAGCTACGTATCATGTGTGTTACATATCTTGTAAACTCTGATTTTAAAATATATAAGAAAACTAAAATGAACTAAGATTATTAAAATAATAAAATTACGAATGATTCTTCAGTACCATAAGATTGTTTTTAAGAGGACAATTTGTAAAGTTTGAAAGTTTCTCTTCTTTGTAGACAGAATTAAAAGTTTACATTCCTTAATGCTTGGTTCCATTATTAAGACAGTGAAAGAAACAGACCATTAGTCTTAGATCTTTAAACTACTCGGGCATCAAACTTTTATCTGTTGTTTTTCTCTCGGCTATTGTAATTCAGTCTGACATGTTGACTATGAACATTGAGAAGCAGAACAAAAGGGTTTTTAAAGCAGTGTTAATTTTTGTTTTAATTTTACAGATCTACTTGAGATTTCTAGATTATCAAATGGAGCACTCAAATGAATGTAAGAGGAACTTCGTTGCTGTCTATGATGGAAGCAGTGCTATTGAAAATCTGAAAGCCAAGTTTTGCAGCACTGTGGCCAATGACGTAATGCTCAAAACAGGAGTTGGAGTGATACGAATGTGGGCGGATGAAGGCAGTCGGCTTAGCAGGTTTAGAATGCTCTTCACTTCCTTTGTGGAGCGTAAGTACATAATTGCTGTAGCGCTGAGATCTTGTATATACGTTGTACTCATTCACTGTATGCTCCTTGAACATTTACTTGTGACAGGAAGGCCAGGTCACAGCATGTAGAAATGAATAACCGTTGGTCCCTGTTCTCAACAAACTGCCATGGGTGAAAAAACCATGTTAACATATAAATTGCAACACAGCATCACTCTACGGTATAAACAAATTAGGAAGGGGATTGCAGAAAGTGCAGATTTCATATTTTCTCTCAAGATTTTCTAATTGTAAAATAAAATGATGAATAATAGTATTCAGTGGGGGCTGGCAATTTAGCTCAGTGGCAAAGCGCCAGCCTGGCAAGTGCAAGGTCGTGAGTTCTATTCCCGGTACCAGAAAGAAAACAAAAACAACAACAACAAAAAAAAATAGTATTCAGCGTTATAAGTAATTATCAATCCACAAAACTATGGACACCAAAGATTTGGATATGTTATTTCCTTTTTTGAACTTAAAAAAAAAAACCTTAAACTTACAGAAAGTTGTGCAATAGTACACAATTCCCGTACGACCTTTACTCAGGTAAGCTATTTTTCCCTAACATTAACATCTTACCAAAAAAAAAAACTTACAAAACAAAAATGAAAATTCACATTGAGACAAGATTATTAACTAATCTACAGACCTTGTGCATGTGTCACTAGCTTTGCCATTCATGCCTTCTCATGACCCAGTTTCCCACGTTGCATTCATATGTCAAAGATCCTTAGTCTCCTCCATCTGTGACAGCTGCTGTCTTCCTGGGTCTTCGTGATCTTGACACATGTGAAGAGTACTCACCAGTGATGTAGTAGAATGTCTGCCAGTCTGTCCAATGTTCTCTCATGTACTCATTTGAGGATATGTGTTTCATCAAGAATAGCTCAAAAATTACACTGTGCCTTTCTCTCTGCGTCATGCCAGTGAAGTAGGGGCACACCGTACTGATTTGTCTTATTGCTAGTAGTATGACCTTCTGTCATTTCATTGAGGTGCTGTCTGCCCTTTTCCTCCAGTATAAAAAAGCTTTCTTTTTCTTTCTGTTTAATAAGTCTAAGACTATATCTTTTGTCTCACTGTTTCTAGTATCCATTGATGATTCATATCTGTAACACCCAAGTTGTTACCTTTGCTTTAGCCTAATGGTGATTTTAGTTACCATCCTAACTTCTGTGTACATTAATTAGAATTCTGCTGAAATCAAAAGAGCTATTTTTCCCCTCATTTGCTTATTCAGTTATTTTATCAATATGAGGCCATGAGTAGTTGTTTATTCTATTATTGGATAATAGTTCTAGAATACTAACACTGTTTCGTTGCTTAAAGCCCAAGCTTTGGCCATGGGAAGCTGCTTAGTTTGCCTTCTGTATCCTTTCAGTGTGCCTAATTATTACTTTTTTAATTCCTTACTCTCAAGCAGCACTGGGTGAACCAGGCACGGCTGTGGTTCCCTGCCCTAGCCCTAGAACCAGTCTTATTTCCAAAGAGCCCTTCATCTTAACATAAGAAACCTGACTCTATCCAAAATACACAATTGCATTGTATTTGTTCAACCCTAATATACACATATTTGTCCAGTCCTAGGCTTTGTCCAATTGCCAGCCCTTACATCCATGGGAAATTTTCTAGCAGACTATTTTATTTATATTCTCTTTGTTATTAGCCTTATTGTCATGATACACTTGTTACTTAGATTCTTTGCCTCACTCCTTTCTTTGTGGTTACATTGCAATAGCAAGCAGAAACACCAAAACCACACCCAAGACTTTAAGGCAGATTTATGTCTGTCAGTGGGCACTGATCGTGATTGTTCCCAGAATATCAGGCGCCGATCTTGGTGGTAGGAACCTGGGATAAGCACGCAGGTAGTACAGAGGCAGAACAGCTTGTCAGTGTGGATTGGTTTATACAGTGTGCATCACCGTGACCAGCCGTTTCAAGGAGACAGAAGCAACCAGAACTGGAATAAGAACTGTTACCTGGGCAACTAGCAGACTGAAGTATGCTGGCTGGGGGGCATTTTTGTTACAGTATTATACAGTTATTATACATTTGTGACTGTTTATATTTTATTTTGTGTTTCCTGCCACATCCTATTTACTTTAAATCTAGGGTACTTGGAACAAGACCGTTATTTATTCCCAGCAAAGAGAAATACTGTGCAGAGAGAAATACTGGAAAAATATCATTGCCCTCTCCTCTCTGCTGGTTCAAGCCTATTCTCTCATTCTTGGCATTTTATTGTTTTGCACAAATGAACAAATACATGTGTATTTTATTTTCCAATTTTTTATTTCATGAAAGGAACATCATTATGCTCTTCTACACTTTGCTTTTTAACAGTGTATCCTAGAAGTAGTTTCATTTTAGTTTGTAGCTCTTGCCCTTTTTTTTATAGCTACAGAGTAGAACGTTGTATGTACTTGGATATGTATTCCCAATATTCTTCCAAGTACAGACAATGCTATCGTAAATAATGTATGTATGAGATTCTCTAGTCAAAATGTAAGGCATATATTGTTTAGTTAGGTATTTCTAAATACCCTTGCAAAAGGGTTGTAGCTATTTTAAAATTATAAAATATATATAACTTGAGATTTATCCTCACCCACTTAAGTGGCATTAAATACATTCATATTACTGTACAGTAATGATTATCCATTTCCAGAGAGGTTTTGTTATCCCATACTGAAACTCCACCCATTAAGCAATTCTCCATTCCCCTCTCCCCACTCTCCCAACAGAGAGTAGAACAGTAATCCCTATTCTACTTACTGTCTCCATAAGTAACTCACATAGTGGAGTCATACTATATTTATATATCTTGATTTATTTCACTTAGCATAAAGATTTTCAGGCTTCATCCATGTTGTAGTATGTATGAGAATTTCAATCCTTTCAAGGCTGAATACTTTTCTATGATAGTATATGTACCTATTGGCTTATATTCATTGATAAACACTTGCATTGCTTTTGCCTTTTGGATATTGTGAATAACATTACTACGAACATTGGCATACAAGTTTCTGAGTTCTTCCTTTGAGTTCTTTCCTGGATCATAGGAATCGCTGGAGCACATGGAAAATCTGTTTAAATTTTTGAGGCATCAACAAACTTCTCCACAGTGGTTGCACCTTGTACATTCCCACCAGCAGTGCCTCGAGGATTTTGGTTTTTCCTTATCCCTGCCAATGCGTGGGTTTTTACAAAATTTTTATAGTAACCATTCTAGTGTATGTAAAGTATGTCTCATTTTTCTCTTGATTTGCCTAAGGTTAGTCATGTTGAACATCTGTTCGTGGACTAATTAGCCATTATTATAAATTCTTTGGAGACATGTCTATTCAAGTCCTTCACCCACTTGTTTTTGAAGTTGTATGAGTTCTTCATATATGTTAGATATCGGTCACTTATGAAATACATGACTAGCTGATTTTTTTTCCCAGTCTGTAGGTTGGCTTTTCGCTCTCTCAGTAGTCCTTTGACACAGCATAAAGTTTCATTTTGGCAAACTCGTTTGTTTCCTTTATTACCTATGTGTTTGGTGTAATGTGCAAGAAATCACTTCCAAAGCCAGAGTTGGGAAGCTTTTTGTCCCATGTGTTTTCTTTTGAGAGCTTTACAATTTTAGCTCTTAAATTTAGGTCTTTGAGCTATTTGGAGTTAATTTCTGTTTGTGATATAAGGGAAGGGTCAGCATCATTCTTTTTCTTGTAGATACAGTTTTGCCAGGACCATTTGTTCAGAGAACTGACCTGGCCCCATTGAATGGTCTTGGCACTCTTACCGAAAATCTGCTGACCAAGCCTACTTTGAAAGCAGGAAGTGTGACTTACTCCACCTCTTTTCTCTTTCAAGATTGATTTGCTTATTCAAGTCCTCTTGAGATTCCATGAATTTTGTGATGGGATCTTCTATTTCAGTTAAAAAAAAAAAAAAAAAAAAAAACTCCATTGAATTTTGAGTAGGGATCACTTTAAATCTGTAAAATCATTTTGAGTAATACAGTTCACATATGAACTGTATTAACTATGGTAAGATTTCCAATCCATGAACACAGGTTGTCTTCCCATTTAATTGTTGTCTTTAATTTCTTTCAG